CGGGCGGCCGCGGCGACGCGCCGGCGCCCTGCAGCACCACGCGCGAGCCGCCCGCGCCGCCCGCGTCCAGCAGCACGGCCGTGGCCGCGCGGCCCTCGTCGCCCGACGCGCCCGACGCGTCGTTGTCCGTCGTGGCGGGCTCGGACTGCGTGCGCCGGTGCCTCCGCCACGCGTGCTGGATCAGCCGCGCGCAGTACTCCTCGCGCTGCCGCCACAGCGTCGACGACACGGGCTCGTAGCCGACCTCGTCGGGCCGGCCCACTTCCAGGTCGCCCGTCTCCTCGATCGGGTTCCCCTTCCGTGCGAAAAAGTCTTTCGTCAGCGCGTCGAGGATGTCCACGCAGAACATCATGTCGCCGCGACATATGGGAATGTCCATGGATATGATCTTATATTTGTTAGGTTTGTGGATCTGGAGCGGGGGCTCCAGCACGTCCAGGAACTCGGACAGCTGGTCGTAGCGGATGTACTGGGTCCCGTCGGGATCGAACCGCTGCCAGATCTCGTAGTACATGTCGTAGTCGTCGTCCGTCAATCCTTCCTGCACGTCTTCCGTCGCCTGTTTCACGAAATAGTCGGTTAATAAATATTCGTAATAAAAACCCGTAGCTGTAAAAGGAACAGTTTACCTGTGAGTAGTTTTCGAGAATGACGGCGATGTACATGTTGATAACGATGAGGAAGGATATGACAAGGTAAGACAACAAAAATGTAATGCCGATAGTGGCTGAACCACAGTTGCCGGGATAGCCTCTTTCATTATCCGGCTGATCGCATTCTTCTTCGTTGATGATGCCATCCAATACACCATCCCATCCCGCAGAAGTAGACATCTGTAAATAGAACCATAGTAATTTTATGTATTAACATTTTATAATTAGAAATGTATAAAATTGAGTATTCAGCTCACCTGAAATAGCAGGATCATACTTTGCACGAAAGTTTTAAAGTTATACACGTCGTCAAGGCCTCCCTTGTTCTTGACGTGCATGAAGAATGACATGCCAAATATAGCGAAAATAAACATCACAAGGAAAAGCAACAGGCAAATATTGAACAGAGCTGGCAGTGACATGGCCAGCGCAAAAAGTAACGTTCGTATGCCCTTCGCGCCTTTCACGAGTCGAAGTACTCGACCGACCTTAGCTACTCTAACTACTCTCAGTAGTGTCGGTGATACGAAATACTTTTCTATAATATCACTTAGCACCAAGCCTGTAGAATAAAAAAAAACTTGTATTAATAACTTCGAATCAGGTATTGTACTCATAGAGGAGCAAAGTATTATAGAACTTACTAAGAATAGAGAACATGACTACAACGAAATCGAACAAATTCCACGGTTCCACGAAGTAGTGATACCGTAACGCGAATATCTTTGATAGGCACTCTGAACTAAATATTACAATGAATATCGTGTTGAGATAATCTAGGACAGTGCTAAATGTTTCCGTTTGTTGGTAGTGGTCCAAAGTCATCGTCAACATGTTCAATCCGATGAACAACATGATAATCATGTCGAATTTCTTGTCTGTCACTATCTCGAACACTATTGCTTGCGGTCGCCACTGAAATTAAAAAAAAACAAATAGGAAATTAATTTTCGTGGTGCTAATGAAAATAATAAAAAAAACATATATTTTTTATATTAAATATTTAAGTTTGTTTATTACCTTTGGCCTTGGTATTGCTTTCAAAGGCTTTTTGGATCCCATCTTTTTCATGGCGTTGTAGTATTTCTTCTGGTCTTCAGTCATGAACATTTCAAGACTGCCACCGGCTTTCTTTTTCTGCTCGTTAAAGTTGTCGATGATCACACCGATGAATAGGTTGAGAGTGAAGAATGATCCAAATATTATAAAGAATACGAAATACAAATACATGTAGATATTCGTTTCTCTTATTGGTTGCTTTCCAACTTCTCTGGAGTCAATAGCATCATTCATAATTTGTATCCAACCTTTGAAAGTGGCTACTTGAAAGAGACAGAGGTAGGCTTTGCCGACGTGATCGAAGTTCATTGGCGAGTTTTCCCACGTGTAGTTTTCTACATCACAAGCATTTTTGTCTGGAATGATTTCATGGCTCAGAGTTGTGTGGTTCATGTCCACGCACTGCAATGGATAACATAAACAAGTGATTTAAATTTTCAGTAGAGGCTATAAATCAAGGCAAGAAAAATTTTAAAATTCCTGACCTTAAAATATTTTCCAGCGAAGAGCTGAACGCCCATGATAGCAAAAATGAGCCAGAAGATAAGACACACGAGCAGCACATTGAAGATAGAAGGAATCGCTTGTACTAAAGCATTTACCACCACCTGGGATATAAGATCTTTATTACAATCACGAAGAATTTTTAAATTTTAGTTAAGTATTTTACTACATGAAAGCTTCTCGCTTGGTGCAAATTATGTAATTTTACTAATAAAAACTTGCTGATTTACTATTTTATAATTAATTTGATCACTAAAGCCTAGAACCTACTTTATGATACAATTTACTCTAAAGACCACCGAACAAATCACAAATAATAAACATGCAAAACAAAAGCGACGACATTAAATCTACGTAAAAGCTCTTAATTATCTTACCTTGTAAGAATAATTAGAATAGCATGCGGCTCTTCGAATTATTGTACGATGTAAATACAAGAAGAAAAGTCTAATGTGCAGGATCTAAAAATAACATTCCGATGAACTAATATAAATACTTAAGAGAATCTAAACTAGCTAAGATGAAGATCCAAGAAAAAAGTAGACCAAAAAGTGACCATGAATGCAACTCGACATGAATCCGACCGAAACGAATTCTAAAGAGGATTTTACGAATGTCATGATGATACTAAGCCATTCAGGGGTGCCACCGACGACTCAAGATGATTGTAGTTGATTCGAAAAATCGATTATGCCAATGAGTTAAAACAACTTGAAAAAAAAATGTTTTCTAAACCAAAAGACCGGATGATCAATGCAGAGGTAACCGAGAAGATTGCTGAGTAGTCTTGTGGAGTTTTTATTGGCTTTAATGGATGTTTGAAAAATTTACAAATGTTGGAGTCGAGAATTGTGTGCAGAGCTGAGTGTAGTGTGATAGTTGCGCCGGCGCGCCGCACAGGGTGGTACGTACCCTCATGCCCTGCATGCGGCTCATGGCCCTGAGCGGCCGCAGCGCGCGCAGAGTTCGCATCGTTTTGAACGCCTGAATGCCGCCGGCGCCACAAAGCGCCGCTACGAAGTTTACAAGTGAGACCTGATGAAATCAAGGTAGTTTGAGAATAACTACAACAAATAAAGTACATATTTTTATTACAATCATAATCACATAGGTTTCAATAGTTGCTATGATACGTCGCACCTAGATAAAAATACAGGAACGATAAAGAACCAGCTTCCTTTAAAAAAGAATATTAAAGTTTTATCAACTTTGAAGACGCTACCTGCGAATCCAACCTTGTGCAAATAAGTGATTTATAAAACGAGGAAGACAACATCCCTGCAAACATATCAACCGAGCAGTCCAGGTTTAAGTGAAATATTTATAGACACAAATAGATAATTATACATTCAGGAAAATTTAGATACCAGGGAAAAAAACGAAAGCAAGAGTTAAACAATTTATACAGCCCAATACAAGTGTTTCTCTGATATCTAAATAAAAAGGTAATTGAAGGATACATCGACAAAGTATTAGTGTAAAGAACAGTATAAATATTCATTAATGACATTCATAGCATTCAAGATAAAGTGCTATTTTCATTACAAATTTTCTAGGTCACAGAAAATAAAATATTAGTGATTGTTACAGTAGAAAATAGCACTATCTTTATACTAGCACATAAATAGAAGTGGTGTCGCCACATGCACTTGTAAATAGGCCTTGGTATACAGGTGTCACTAAGCCACGTAAGACGGGCGGATCTTCGAAGTCTGGCCAAGTAGATGAAGTAGCATGGGTTGTGGTTAGAGACATAGAAGCATCCACAGTTAACATTACGACATCGAGAGCTCCAGGCAGCACTGCGAGACTAGTTGGTCTCCGCTGCGACAGACATCGAACAGTCAAAGCTATACGCTTGAAGTTGCGCTGCCCATCGATGTGTTTAGTGAAATTTTAAATTTATTTTTGAAGTGAGAAGAGCAATGAGCGGCGCAACGGAATAGACACCAATAGCGTCACTTGACGAAATTGTGACGGCGCGTACTCACGCGCATTCCCTCCCATCTGGAGACAGCTCGCAGTGGGCGCAGCGCGCGTAAAGTCCGCATAGAACGGAACGCTGGGATGTCGTCCGCACCAGCCATCACCGCGCCATGGTTTACGAGCGATAACTAACGTGACACTTACGATCATTTACTTATCAATAAGTTAAGGCTATAATTAGAATATAAATCTTAATTTAAACGAAAAACAATCAAGTTCATGTTGATTGCTCATAATTATTTTAAATAGATTTAAGTATATTACTTACAATGACTGTCACTATTATTTCAATATATGTATATATATATATATATTTTGAATAAATTCCTTTTTGTGTTTGTTAATAAACGTTACCTTTTAGCTGTAAAAAATCTGTTAATAACATAAACCGAGTAACTGATAGAACATAAATAACCAGAATTGATATTACCATGACAATGATGAAGTCGAGCCAACACCAGGCATTGGTGAAATATTTCTGGAAGCCGAGAGCGAGCCACTTGATCAACATTTCGAGGAAGAAGATGACGGTGAAGATTCGGTCCATGTAGTACAGGATGTCTTGAAGAATGGGCCGATGTGGTAAATGTACATCTTCTAGCGCCTGTTTGAATCCAACAATGCCAATCAGTACATGTTATCAACAAGAGTACAGTTGCTTACGTAACTGAACAGAGGAATGATGCAAAAATCTACTCACCAAAGCCAAACTACTGAGCAAGATCATTGTAATCACAGCCGTTTCAAAGTATGTGTTCTCTATCAGTCTGAAAGTCTTCAGTCGTAGCATGGCCCAACCTTGCCAAAAGGGTGAGTCGTCATCTCCAGCGAGGAATGGGAATTTCACATAACATGGCTCTGGACAGCAATCCGCTGGCGAATCATCCACTACATCTTCATCAGCTGCTACAATTATATCTTTGCCTAAAATTCCGTCTATTTTTTCTTCTTCTTCTTCTAAAATTTCTGAAAAAAGCAATGAAAACGAAATGTTAGTCTTACCTCTAAAAGTAATTTTTGACCAGGTATTTTAAATAATTATATCAATTTGTACCTTCTTCTAAACCTAATTCTTCTTTACTAGCGTCTTTCTTTTCTTCGCCATCTATTGTATCTGCTGAGCCTTTGTGACTTTCATCTTTGAATGATCTAATTTTATGACTACCATACGACTTTTGACTTATTGTGTCATCATCCTGTAACGTTCAAAATACACAAAAATATATTTTTTAAATGTTTAATTACTCAATAAATGGTAAATTCAAGTGAAGAAATACGCACCTGGATCGGATATCCATGATTGAGTTCACAGTCTAATCGATTATCTCTATGATTATCTGTAATTGCGTTTATATTGTTCATCAAGATTTTTCCTTTTTTGTATTTATTGTCACCTGGAACACCATTTACTTCATCTAAAGTTTCATGTCTACTCTGTAAAATTGGCAAAAGTGTGGAATTGCTGTTTCTGTTACCTGGTATTGTAAATTCCATGCCATCGCCTATCGCGACTTCTACTTGGTCTTTTAGTTTCTTGTCTTTGTAAAGTACAGCGTCATCGAGGTCCGTGCCGAGTTCCAGCTCATTGTCGACCCGTTCTGAGGAGACACAGCGGCCGCATAATGCCGCCTTTAAGCCTATTGTCGCGTCACCGTGAGTCACCGGCCGCCGCAGCATCCAAGCATAGAAATCAGACCAGCACGAATTCAGAACAATCTCTTACAAAACTCCTTTTATTAGACGAACAAAATTGATGGTTAAGTGGAGCTGTTTCTAAAATAATTGTATCTTAACTTAAAGTGATTTTTGCTTCAAATATTGTTATGAATGTGATCTTTGGCAAGATAAAACTCTAGGCATGATATTTAGACAAATTTATAACCTTTTTAACATATGTTGAAACAAAACAAACAGTAAATGTAAAATCTTATATTTGAGGATACTTACAAATCTTACAAATAGGTTATATACCAAATACGTGCAAATTACAACAATATGTTCACAAACAACAAACAAAATAAATACATAGTTACATAATGGTAAAATAAGCTACTACATGATTAACAAAAAAGAAATGATGAAAATAATAAAAAAGAAACACTAAGTAACAAAAGGGGTTCAACGATATCAACAAGAGTTCAAACTAACACACGACAGGTCTGCAAATCTACACTTGGATTCTAGGGACAGGCAACGCACAGTGAAGACAAAATACACGAGGTACATTTACAAATATCTTTATTACAACCGGTATCATGCTATTATATATTAACACTTATATCATGCCACAACACTTAGTATTTTGGATTCTTTGGCTCCATCGGGGCTCTGTACTTACCATGCATGCATTATATTTTATACATTTTGATTTTACACATATTGCTAGTTTATCAAGAGACGTACAAGGTGAAACATTAGCTAACACTTTTGTTTATTTAGAATTAATAAAAACGGATCTATATTCCATTTATTTAATTGACGTATATAGTTTTGAATCAAACTCGTATCTATCATGGTAGAGATCGGAGGTCCGCTTTTATTTCTTCATTCTATATGATTTAAAGGAGCAACAGACGAAAAGATCTTTTTAGGAAGTTATTCGTTGATATGTTCGATAATCGATTATTGCTGTAGATTCGAAGTATATTCTCTAAATCTTCGCGTTGACAACACATAATAAAGTGCACTCTATATCACGCGTATAGCGAGAACCAGATCCTTTCATTTGTTGAACTTTAAACATGTACAACGACATGCCACAACAAACTGGCAATCTGACACACATCTTACCGGGAGCATGTATAGCTATCTGATTGGTCAATTTGTTCTTCAACAATTTGAGAAACTCGTTGATGTTACGTTTCACCCAGTCGATGAACCTTGATATTCGATTAAACGCCTCTGCGATTTTGTTGGTGTCTTGATCCGCAGTAGGCGTGGATAAACTCGATGAACCGAAATTTGACAGTAACAGGGCCAAGAAGAGGTTAAGTACCTGAAATTATATCATATATTTTAACCCTAAGATGGTGTTGACAGACCTTAACTTCATTATTAAATAAAAAGATTTATAACTTAGGGCCAGGCCAAGGATTGTTGAATTAAAGTACTTACCACAAGATTGCCAATGACAACAGTTGCCAAGAAGAACGGAATACAAGACACATCGCCGACCAACATGCAGTCCCACATACTTTCGATCCATTCTCCGCACAGTACTCTGAATACAATCATGAAACTGTGCATGAAGTCTGTGAAGTTCCATCTTGGGAGATCTCCATCGGGAAAACGGTCCACGTAATCTGTATGCACAAAAAAACGGTTAAAATATATTCGTAAATAACAAAGAAGTTTTCTTTATCATTACACAGATATCTAAAAGCAATACTAAACTCTTTTTTGTTACAAGTGTAATTGCGCAAAATTATATAGCACATAAGATATTTTCTAAACAGTATTTAGCGACATTTCAGTCAAGTTAACATTTTAATTGATCTACATCACAAACTACTCTGATATTAATAGTACAGAAGAGTATACGACTATTTAGCATGCTACGAGTATAAATACTTACTAAAGATACAAAGGTAGCGCTGGTAAAAGGGAAACTCAAAAAGGATGAGAAAAGAAAAGGCTGAAGAAGGGAAGGAAAAATAAATGAGAAGCAGGTTAATGATTGTTACACAAGTGAGGCGCCTTTTTAACGGCTGTTAGCATAGGGACACCGGACAACACGTTTGGGACTTGAGCCTCACTTGGAAGGGATACACCAATTGTTGCCAATCACCTAGATGATAATGAGCATAACAGTGTGACGCACATCAATACAATACTTACTAGTTAAAGGCAACGATCCCGATTTCAATAAAAGTCTGGATAAAGAGAAGTATGCGATTCTTTACGAGATATCCGTTACAAGTTTAAAAGTTTGAAAATTCTGTAGCTTTAAGAGAGAGAATGTTAAAGATTCTTCTTATCCATACTTAATGATTGAATGTATTTTAATAACGAAATTGATGACTGAAACTTTTTTATAACTATTATATGTATGTATGTATGTGATACATAAGTACATTTACGTCACATAAAATCGGGACCGCTGCCGCAACAAGTAACACGTCCAAACACCAATGAACATGCAACACTCCCACCAATCCACTTACCCACGTAATTTTTCCCGAATAGTTGCATACCCATCACGGCAAATATGAAAATAATGATGCACAATACGAAGGTCAGGTTGCCCAAGGCACCCATCGTCCTACCCATTATCGAGATGAGTAAATTAAGTGTCGGCCATGACTTTGCCAATTTGAATACTCGAAGCTGCAATTACAAATTGTGAAACAAGGCGTCACACAAGCTCGCTTACCGGCGCTTCACCTATGCTACTGATGCTCTTCTCCACCGACCCACAAACACTCATCACATTCTTTCCATTACAATGTTTTTGAACTTTATTTCTCACATTATTAATTTCGGTGTTATGAGTGGTTACGAGTTTGACATGTTAGCAAATGTGTGCTTGAGTTACCTATCAAAATGTGCATTGACTTAAATCTGTATGAGTGGGATATATGTTTGTCTACAAATTATTTGAGACCTTTTCATTAACAGCGTTATTCTTCTGATTCATTTCTTTATTAATTTGTTCATACTTTTGATTAGTTTGCCTAATGTTTTTGTTAATGACATAGATCCCATCAGTAATGACTTGGAGCGTAAGTACCCTTCAAAAGCAAAGCTGCAAGTCAAATCTATGTACTCGATGCAAAGCTTAGGATATGGTCTCAAGCTGCGTGGCATAGCTTTATAACGTGTCTCGTCTCAGGCTCATCGTGTTTGGAGCCACATTCCGTGTTATAAAGCCACAGCGTGGACTCTCAGTTCTTTATGAAAAATGTTCACTTAAGCCCAGTGTAAAATATTCGGGAGTGTGAAGCTGAATTAATAATGAAGCTTAATTTTTAGAGATGCTAAATTTTCTTTCAAAATAGAACCTGTATAATTCTTCCCAAACAACTGCATTCCCATCACAGCGAATATGAATATAATGATGCAAAGTACAAAGGTCAAGTTCCCTAGAGCGCCCACAGTCCTACCCATTATGGATATAATAAGGTTTAGCGCCGGCCAAGACTTGGCCAGTTTAAATACACGCAGCTGAAAATATTTCATCATATTCACACGTTAATATCATTATTGACGTTGCAGACAATACGTTTGTGTTGTTGAGAAGTATGTGTCAGTACAGGTGACGGATTCCCAGTAAAAAAAATGTCATGTTGAGTTGGTTCTGTTCAACACAGATACTTACAAATAAATACATTAGAAGTTACAAACAAACCATAGATGTAAATATTCAATTAAGGTACTCGGGGACAAACTTGGGGTATAACAATAATATCGTTATTAAAACAATTGATTAATGTTACATAAAAATTTACAAGTAAAGTGTACTAAGAGCGATACTCACCAAACGAAAGGAACGTAATACTGACAAACCCTGAACACCTTCTAAACCCAACTCCAATAATGATAAGGCCACAATGATAAAGTCAAATATATTCCATCCTTCTTGAAAATAATATTTTGGGCTCATTGCTATCAATTTTAACATCGCTTCTATACCGAATGTTGCCGTGAAGAACTGAAAGGGTACACGTCATTATATTTCAGTAATTAAGAATTAAATCTAAATGTGAACAAAATATCTGACAAACTTACGTAATTGCCACTTTTGAGTGCTTTTTCCATATCTTTGTCCATATCATGATGATCTAAGGCCATGAACAATGTGTTGACCACTATACAAAGAGTGATGAATAGTTCCACGAAAGGGTCAAACACTAACAGTGCAACGTATTTCTGGAACTCGAGCCAGAGCCAGCAGCAGTCCCACACACAGAATACGTCTATTCCTTTCATGAGGCACTCAAGCAGTCTCTCCTTAAAAGTGGGCCCGTCCTCATCGTCGTCCGCCGCTGTTGGGAAGTAGTACACTGACACTGTTGCGTCCCATTACCGGCAGAGTGCGTGTATGTGTGTGTTTCACAGAGAGAGAAAAAATATTGTTAGTATTCGCTCATTATCTTTTAACATTTTTTATTTAAAGGAAGGATTTATTTTCCAGGGAGATAATTTTTTTATCGTAATTTCGAATTTGACGAAGATATATCGGCATCAATATTCATATTTTTTGAAATTTAGCTGGCTGTCATTTACCTTTGGGAATTCAGAGATGCTTGAAACTCTGTGGGTTCTATAAAAGTGTTAGAGCTCTTAGAAAATGATTTTCGTGGGAGCCACAACTCTATTTTGTGAAATTCGTGCAAATCAAACCCAAATCGGTACTGGCAGTGACTATTATCAACTTGAATATAAAACCTTGCACATGAAGCTTACACTGCTCTACTCAAACGCAGTCATCGATGGATTTAAAGGATATTTAATAGCAGTAATGATGGGTTATAAGGCCAAAAAATATGAATATCGTGATTTCTAAGACCACATTTTCGATTTTTTTTATTGAAGCTCACTACTTCATGCCATGACCTCAACTCTAATAAATAAATAACACAAGTATTATTGCTATTTTAAGTAATCAAACAGTGCATGCATATAAAAAATAGTACAACAGAATACAGGCAAAAGCTTTTCAAATAAATCAGCATAAGCAGTAGGTTTTGTTTCTGTGATATTTTGTAGTTAGTGCACCGGAACATGTATATTGAGCATCTCAAATGGAATTAAAGCGTGAAATTTGATCTTGTAGGATTTATATTTTATTATCCTTTATTTTGGAATTAACTTGAGGTGTCAATTTCAACATTTCTTACGCTTTTACGTGAATGGGTTACAAACTGGTGGCAATATGTGATAGTGTAACATTGCTAATTGTCAAAATTGTCAGTCAAAGAAGAAGTTTTGATAATTATAGATTGCTGTCTATATCATGAATGAGATTGGCGATTCTTGTGTAGATAAATCTGTTCAATAGTTAAAGATAGACTTCATGATACCATTAAGATTGAAAGGTTCACTTCCGCAGATAATTGCGTTCTTAATGTCCATACACAGTTGCACAAAATTCTTCTTTGTCTGAACGTGCTAGTGCAATTGCAGCTTAAATTTAAACACAATAAATGACATCCATATAATATTTCCTTTGCCAATTATGCTCTATTTTGCATAATGAGCAAATACTCTTTGTGTTGTGTGTGTTTTGTGTAATAGTGTTTATGGTACAGTCAATTCTGTTACGTTTCACAATAAAAGAATAGTCATATTTATAGAAAAGTTGTCTTCAGTGAAGAAGCGATATTCGAAACACAGACTTAGCACATTAAAGAAACGAACACTGACATTGAAAATAAAGATTTCACAAGACAACAGTAAATTAACTTGTAACTGTTTATTGTTACAAGTGATTTAGTGTCTAGAATCGTACCGTTCTGTTCACTGGCTCTACTTTGTCGACCTGCTTGCTCGATGATCTCATTTAGTACCATTACATCTGAAACATGCCAATTGGGAACATTTCAACTACATTCTTAAGCAAATGCATCGTGTTGAGTAAATGAAAAATGATTGTTACCTCTCATATCTACAACGTTAGGCTGCTGTGAGGATTCTATAAAAGGATTGTCATTTGACGGTTTCAGTACTTTTCCAGCTTCGTCTGTGCATTCAGTCGTTTCCTGGAAGGTAGAAACAATAGTGATTTTAAATCTCAAGTAGAATACCACTTCGTACTTTTGAGACAAATAAAAGATAACGTCTTTAACCTTTTGTTTGTGCTAAATTATTATGCTATTACATTGTTTATCATAAAGATATTGGTATGGCTAGGCAATATTTTTGTAGATTTTTAATATTTCATAGAAGTATTTCAGTATACTTACGTATTCCCTAAGCGGTCTGGAGGCAAGGGAAGAATCTTGTCTCGGCAGTGGGTAAGCATGAGGTTGCGACGTCACGCTATGATTCCTCGATGCGGATCGGTTGCGGAGCTTGGCCTCCTTTGTTTGAGATTTTCCGCCTCCCAGTAAGTCGCCGTGAGACGTGTACGACAGCCGAGATTGGTGGGATGTGTACGACGAGTGCCGAGAACCTGGAATTTGTTTAGAAATAAGGTGTTAGTAACCAACAATTCTTGAAAACTAATTGAAGAGTTCTTTGACGTTGTTCATGGCAAAGGACAAGGAAATCCTATTACCTACTACATAATATCATTGTTTGAAATATAGTTAATTAGTTACCAGAGTGATAGTACAAGATAACCTCACATTTTGATTTTTCAATCTCAAGGTCGATTGAACAAAAAACGTAAGTTATAATTACCTAAATTAGCATAGTAGACTGGAATGATGATAGCACCGTTTTCTTCAGACATTGGCGTAACAGCATTCGAGTCATCCGCATAGGGAAGATGTTCTTGAGCGTCCAGATACGTTGACAGCACTAGAGGTTTTCTATCAGCTCCAGGTGGGTACCTCGGCCGCCCATTAGGCCTCAGGGCCATTTGATGGGAACCTCGTGACCCTCGGCGTAAGTTGAACGGCGATCCAGGTAGCGATAATGACGCCTGTAGCACATTCCATTATTCAAAGTATTCATTTTATGATCGTAACATGACAACAGTCAAAGGGTTTTACAGGTCAACTGATTGAATAATAAATTGGTCATGAGACGTTGTCGATGTTATATCGTTTGCATTTTAGATTTTCAGTGGGTAGGTACTTTTCATATTGATTGCATTCATCTTCTAAGATGATTCTTTAATTTGAATTTTACTTAATGCTAGAGTATACGTATTCAACAGGTACCTACTTAATTTTCCTCAATTCAGATCGAGTTTGTAAATTAACTATTCATCCAATCTATTTCTATTATTAAGTAATTTATTTCTAAATAAACCGGTTGCAGAGGCTTTTTTTATGAAGTAGTCTTGGAATTGGTTCTTTGCAAAATGTTTACTTTCATGTGCTGATAAACAAAATAATAAACAAAAATTACAGTAAGTTGGAAATGTTTAGAAAAATGGAAAGAAAATCAATGAAGTCAAAGAACAAGAAGGTGCTTGTAATTGTCTCATTGCATCAACTCGCGCATTTGCTAACATGATCTGATTTATATCACAACAAAAAAAAAGTACAACCCAGATGCGACGGTCTGGTGCAAATAGACATTTAGGCTTAATAGCAAATTCTAAAAGAGCGAGAACAGATAGAAAGATAAACAGATAGAAAATTAAAATTCGAAGTCCTATTATAAAGGAAGAGGAAAGGGAGCACAAACATTAACGAGGATTGATGGACAAACCTGTGAGCCCTCCCGCAGTGGCCCATATGACTGTAACTGGCCGTATTTATTTATGCGTTCAGGGTGGGGGACCTTCAATGCACAAAGAAAATTTTGAATTTATTACCATCACTCGTATTCTAAGCAACTTATATCGACCAACTTATCTAGACATACATCGAATAGGACAAAAGGACCGAGAATAGGCTCTGCCTAAACACTGACAACGAACAAAACAAAATCACCTCTGCCATACAAAGTAAAATATAAGTTGCAGCATTTAAGCAAGTTAAGAAAAAACAATGATGACTGTTGAGCAGTGTAACTACTGTGATAAACTGCCAATACGATAAAGTAAAAGAAACGTATTTGCCCCAAATACAATAAGAATTAAAGAGATTATACTACAAATATTCAAATTTCATTAAAGTATATAGAGGTGTAGACTTCATGATTCTGATATTCTTATTGTAAATGTTGTAACAATAATAGTCTTTGAGAAAGTAGCGGTGGTAATGATGGAAGCAGAAGTTAGTCAAGTAACTTTGTTTATAAACACATGAAGTAATGTGGGGTTTTAATTACATGCATCTTCGCAAACTTCTAATCCTATCAGAACTATTTCAGTTACTACATCTATAGTCATGACGACTGTTCTTTTGTTTATCTTGAAGCCTCCGCATGTCAGTAATCGAAATTGAGGAATCATTAATTACTTTAACCTTACCAAACGTAAAAAGATATGTTCGAACCTACCTCGGTATCGATGATTACGTTCACTTTCAGTTTCAGTCCGGCCCGTTCGTGAACACTTACATTGCAAAAGAAACAATCTACCATGACAATAGATTTATTATCTCCAATAATATTCCTGTGATTCGAGATTTTTAATTGCTTTTTAGAAATTTTCACTTTCCGATATAATTTAGCGAGTATCGGGCTTGAGACTAATGAAACAATAAAATGCTTCAGTCGTTCTAATGAAGAAATAATATTGGAGATGTCATTAGCTAGAGTAAGACGACTACAATATAATAATTTTCAGTCAGTAGCCATGCGAGACCAAAATATTATATATTTTTCTCACAATTTCATATTCTTTTTAGTACGTTATTGTACATGTGTTATTTGAGTTAAAAGAAATGGAAGTAAAACATTCAGAAATGAACTTTCGTGCTTTCAATGATACGTTCTAAAACAGGATTGACTAGATCTAATTGAGGAATTGCTACTGGAAGACTATAACGACAATGAATAATTCGGAGATGATAAAATGGGAATACGAAAGTTTTGCAAGCTTGGTAGTCTAATAGCATAACTCATGACCAAGGTACGGGAACAAATCGAAAACAAATTATGAACATGTTCAACTACAAATATTCAGATGTTAATAGGTTTACTTTATAATGACATAACTCTAGACTTAGGTAGTGTTAGCCTTTCTTTTGCTTTTAAAGCGAGAGTGACAAATGAACAGAAGCACGATTTTTGCATTAAAGTTGCCAGGAAATTAATATCTGTATATTTGCATGTAATGAATATATACAATCATCCACAGTAATATAACACAGGGAAGACTTTAAGCTTACAGCAAGAAACATCAATAAATAATAAATTCATTCTTTTCAACTTGAGCTGTAAGATATAAAAGTGCTGACATGAAGATGGTAGTTTCGTGACAAAATATGATGTAAGTTCAGTCGATAGTTAATGGTCACAAAATCCAAATGTTAGCTCATGTGGCAACTTGGTCAAGCAGCGTGTTTATGATAATATTCAAGTTGAAAAGACAGTGCTTCGCTGGCAATGACTCGAATGGTTCAATAGAATTTGAAAACTTGTGTAATATTAGTATGCGTATAATTCTTAATCATGTATGACTTACATACTTTCAGAATGCTTGCTAACCTTCAAGTTATAAATTCTGAAAAAACTTTAGAGAATTGGTGTTTGAAATAACTCTATTGTAGAGGGTCATTATAAATCAGAGTTTGCATTAGAGTGGTATAGATATAGTGAACCATTGGCAGCGAGATGGATGCGTGAGGGGCGGCGCGTACTCACCATGCTGACTTTCCGATGGCGGCGTGGCTCGTGTTGCGTGTCGGCGGTGGGCTTGTGCGTGGGCTGAGTGCTCACCGAGTCTTGGAAGGGGTCGCTTCGCAGCGACATCCGCTCGCGCGTATTGTCGTCCTGGTTGCCACGCTCCTGGTTCACGAACAGCTCGTAGCTCTGACACGAGAAGTCGCTGGGAGACTTGGCTGGATGCGCTTCGGCGTACGCGGATGCTTCCGCTGCTGCTGCTAACTCACGGGCGTGTGCTTCTCTCGCTTCTTGCCTGTCTGCTTTTGCTGCGGCTTTTTGTTCGGCTTCCTACAGAGTTAAGAATACATCGATCGTCACTATGGAGTTGACCAAGTAAGCATGCATCTCCTAAGATTCGGTCCGTATAAACCAAGATAATGGACAGGACTATACGAAGGTAGAGTGTCCTGTCCTAGTTTCTAGAAAGTAAACAATAGGCAAAAGTGCTTTTTTGTAACAAATTATTGTTATCTTTACTAACCCTAAGTGCTTCTTCTTCAGCTTGCTCTTCTTCTTCAGCTTTCTTCTGCAATTCATCGTAAGACATGGCGACAATGGCCAAGATCAAGTTGACGAGATAGAACGAACCCAAGAAGATGATCACTACGAAGAAGAGTACGTGCCAAGAGCCTGCTGATCTTAGCACCTGAAACGTGAGATTATATATATTATTTATTTATCCTATTTTTGTTTTTGATTACTGGTGAGGAATTTTATTGTAGGTAAATTCAAATTTAACATTAACGAAGAATTCGCTTTTACTTGACCTAGATAGTTTGTTATTACTTATTCATTACAATCTTGCAAGAATCTTAAATGCTACTTGTTTTTCAAGACTGCTACGACAAGATACTTATATTTATCTTACACAATGATAAAAGCAAAAAATAAATCTTCTCAACAGTTACTCCTTTAATGCTAAAATATATCAAGATGACACGTTATTTGTTAATAAATCGGATTTTCATAATCGGCAGTAATTAATTAAGACACACAGCGTCAATTACACTGACTAATACTAATGGTTTCGGTATGTATCTTGTTTCATCTTAATTACAAAGTAAGCTGTAGTAATGAACCTACTAGTTGATAAAGATTCTCCCAGTAGTCTTGTGTCATAAGACGAAAGGCGGAGAGAAAGGCCCAACCGAAGGTGTCGAAGCTCGTGTACCCGTAGTTCGGATTTGGCCCGTAGCCTTGTAGGCAAATGTAGCCAGGCTCGCATTGACTGTCAAGTATGAACAATATTGATCTATAAGTATTGATCTATAATCTATAAGTGCAATATTTCTAGCGACTCAGTTTTTTTTTAAAGAAAAGCTTATGAACCATCATACCACAGTACGATACCAATTCTTGTTGGCGATAACGGCCTTGTCTATTGCTTAAAGATTGAATGCCAAATAATCAATTCTCAGTTTTATGACTTACCCTGCTCCTGATGAGTTTCCACATAGAGGATAATCTCCATTTTCTTCGTACCAATTTGCTGAAATTACCAAAAGTTGTTATATTAGGAAATACCGTTTGTTAACAGTTCTCTTCCTTATATTGAAGTTGATATTATTTGTAACTTCTCAGCTTATTTCCATTATTTCGATCTTTCACATAACCAAGATTTCGCCGTTAGTTATGCTGTGAAATCGAACGATCAATCTCCTAACTTTAATTTAGTTCCATTGACGTATTTGTATAAGTAAAATTAGTTTCGAACTATAGGTAAGCCCTTCTGATGTAAGTTCAGAATACAGGTTTAATGCTGATAAAAAATGACAAAATTGTTTGTTGTGAAAAAAAATGTAAGTACAAAATCCACCTTTATTTATTGTCATTGTATTGTTTACTTTAATTTAAATCATTTTTATCTGTAGTTATTGTAATTGCTATTTCTAATTAAAACTTGCTGGTTGTGTCTCTTTAATTAATCTTTTAAGCGATACTTACTTTCGTTTTGACAGAATCTTTCCCAGTTTTCATCAGTCAGGTTACCCCACGAGCCGTCTTCAGGGAAGACTTTTATGCATTTCTGTGTCAGGACGCCCATGTAGATTTGCAGACCCATTAGCGCGAACACAGACAGCGAAAACATCGTCAGGATGATCACATCGCGGAGGTTCTTTACTGATTCTATCACAGCACCGACGATGGTCTTCAAACCTGCATCGTACGTTTAGAACGTCGGTGTAAGGATTTTTCGAACATTTATATTTTGTGTTATTATACGAGCTAAAAACGTACGTTTGGTTTCATAACAAATTTCAAAATTTTCAAATATTTTTTACGTTCACTTCGTAATAATTTCTTCCAATAGTATATCACTACTTCTAAAGCTAGTATTAAATAGTGAACCTTTAACAAAGTACTTCTAGTTTTTGATACATCGATTAGTTCTAAGAGCTACCTAGTTATCTATTGGGAATTACTTGTCTACGTCAATTACCCGGTATAATGGCCACAGTCTTCAAAGCTCGGAGTACCCTGAACGTTCTGAGCGCAGCCAGGTTGCCCAGGTCTATTCCCATCGTTACGTAGCTGTAAAAGGCACCCAAAGCCACCACTACATTAATATATCTATCTAGTTTGCATTAACACATCTACGTGGGATATTTTGATTGATTAAGATCTTTTGTTTTATTCTTGTTGTTTCATCTAATACATGTCGTTTTACTACTGTAAATAATTGGTAAAATTTCTCAATTTTCTAAATTAAGTTACTCATCTATAAAAACTAATATGAACGATTAAAAATCTACAATAATATCAACTCGTTTAATAATAATAAATCTACGAGATTTGTTGAATATTCTACTACTCACGCTAAAGCTATAACTACGAAGTCAAGCCAATTCCATGCATCTCTAAGGTATGTAAATGGCTGCAGAATGAAACCCCGGGCCATTACTTTCACCGCCGATTCAAATGTGTAGATCCCGGTAAAGATAACTCTGGAAAAATTCACCTCCACTGAACTCCAACTCTATACAATAAAACTTAACAACAAGTCAGTATGTTTAATGGTACTTTGGTATAAAAGTTCTGTATTGAACTTGTGGTTTGTATTGGGTAACATAAATGCAATATAAATACATAAACAAGTAAGTAAATGTGATTAAGAATTGCTAAAATGCCAGTATGTACATTATATATGAAATGGTGAATCGACTTATGGATATTTTTAGTTAAAATTTCAATTTTCTCTGTTGAATTCCGCTTAATTGCAATATTAATTGTGAATTGAACGAATTGAATTTAGAAATTTTATGCGCGTATTTGATTTTGGAAGTGAAGTTATTAGTGAAGTAATTTTCGTAGTATTTTAAATCTTAAAGAAAAATGTGTGACGTAGTGCCAGCCATAATGTCTTCAACTATGCAAATTCGTAAAATTTACGCGTATTTTAAAACACAACATGTTATTTGTTTAGTGCCGTTTTCTATTGGAGGTTGGCAATTAACATGATCAAAACACAACAGCACTGTCTAATACTAAAGTATACGTATATTCATTGTACATCTTCAATGATTTTCTAATTAATATTTCTATAAATGTAAATTTCGATTGTCTATCAATAAAATTCAGAAAACTAGCTGAATACTAACAATTTTGAAACTAACGTGCATTCTACTAACGATCTAAGAACTATTTGAAGTTCTTGATTATTCGATATAATATGGTATATCAAAATTGGAATTCGAAACGTTAACGAGAAAACTAAATAGGTTATATGATACTGATTATTAAATTTAAAAAGATATATATGTATACATATACTTACTCAGTACTTTCTACAGTTGGTGTTGTAGGCATGATCATAAGTATGCAGTTGACTAAAATGGTGGTAATAATAAATAGCGAGAACAAAGGATGCACTAGAATGTATATCGCCACTCTTCTTATTGGATTGAACGGGTCCAACATCCATAGGGCGTCAGTCGCTGAAAACCTGAAGATATCTCTACCCTTGCTTATTACTACGAAGGTCTGAAACAAGAACAATACATTCGTTTAATAGAAAAGATCATCTGTATGATACATATATTCATGGATATCTTTCGAGGAAAACGTTAAAACTGGCCACATGTACCAACCAAAACATTTAATCGAAATCAATAGACGATTAAAGTCATTGACTTACAGTAAGTCAATGATTAAAGTCATTCTTTTTTCAAATTCAACGTTCTGGTGTATGCGGCCAATGGTTCATAATGACGTTGTTATCATATTTCAGCTTCTTTTAGCTTTCCTCTAAGAGTGGTTACAAACGACGACTTTTAGCAGCGATGCAAACGCGCATTCGTGAAACGCACGATTGTAACGCCAAGCTTGCGATGTATAGGCGATTGAATCGATGCAAACGCGCAACTGCATCGTTACAATCTTTTAAGTTGAATAATTATGTACGAAAAATCTGTATAGATTTATGCACATTATTTTGTTTGTTAATTGTAAATTTAAAAAAGAGATTAAAAATACATGAAATAAATAAATTAGTTAATTAATTTAAAACGTGCATCGCGCTTGCATAGCGTTTGTATCGTGTTTGCATCGCGTTTGTATCGCGTTTGCATCGCTGCTTAAAGTCGCGCGCATGTGTAAAGGTAGACGATTAGCGACTGCATCGCGTTTGCATCGCGTTTACATCGCTGCTAAGAGTGGTCGCGGTGTGTAACCGCTCTAAATATGTAAATGTTGTTCGATTTTCAAATCCAGTTATGATAATCTTACAGTGAGCAACTAAGGAAAAAATTCTATACATACATACGTGTATTAAATCACAGCTGTGCTGCAATGTCCAATCCTTCTCTTTTTGGAAAGGTGTATGCTATAGTTTGTAGCTAACTATTCGAAGCGTGTGTACTGTCATGTAACGTTTTTGTTTCATCGAACTATTAATGTATAAGCAAAATATCACTTACTGTTCGGTTATGATAAAAAGGGTCTATGTCTTCGAGGGGTGTGGAGGCGAGCTCGGGCGGGAACGAACCCTGCATGCGCACAGGCAGCGGCAGCCCCTGCTCCAGCGTCGCGTCCGGCTGCGGACCCTCGTCTTCGTCCTCGTCATCGTATCGCACCTAAACATTATCATTTTCGTTACTAGGAGCTATGAAAACATTATCATTTACATTATTGTCATTGCATGACTGGTGTTTCAATTCTCTGTTTTGGTATTATGGCTTACATTATTTATTACATTTACCGTTGGATTATTATTATTGTCAATGGGTTTAAATGTTGCACCGGTTTCCTTTCGATAGGAATTTTTGAGCATCGTAAAATTTTGATGTAAATAATCATTTACAAGATCATTGTAGACATGGGTAATATAAATTTTACTTAACTGTGTTCAAATTTTAAATAAGATTTAAAGATTGGAAGATTGAAAGATGAATGAATGAGAAATAAAAGAGAAATAAATTATGTATTTAGTTCAATGTTTTCTTATTATGTAGTTTTTGAGAAGGAAAGTCATACCCACTAAGAAAATGTCAATATACTTTATTTTTTATTAATCGACTGAGTCTTTTTACATTTTTCTTTTCCTGCCGACAGACGGCGAAACCATAAATAAGTCGTTCTTGTCGCTCATAATAAATTACTGCGCAAATTTTAACATTCACGTTCACGGTGTTTTACTTTTTTAAATCGCTTAGCAACTAGCCTACGAAAGCCTACAAAATTTGAAAAGTACAACATTAATAGGTTCTCAATAATAATTTAATATGGCACCAGGGGCACGATGCACGATATTACAATAAAAATTTCTTTAAAAATAGATTTCAAAGTAAAATACTGGCGTGATAACATGAATTTGTATGAAAGTATAAAACTATATACTAGTAAATACTTTGTATACAAGTGATAGATAGGTAGATAGGTACGTAGTCAAATGTTTTCTATACGTTGTAGGTAAGAAAATACATTCGAGTATCGTGCCCCGTAAACAATATTCGGTACTAAGGATCGGTTAATAACTTTACCATACGATGAAAGGTGTGAGAGAAAAATAACTGCCAGGAATGTTTCTTTTTGGCAGAAAGCTTTCAAAATTCCAGCTATGAAATACCCTTAGCAACAGTATAATATGGAAAGAATCAATCATGATATTTGTATAATCCTCTGATGTTGGAAAAGTGCTAGCCGTTATCAACGTTAGTTATAGTGGCAGATCCCAGATGACGTCGTTAATTTATCAAAAATGTTGAAGTACTTATTATTTCAGTATGATTAAGATATTATCCATATACTTTACAAGTATTTTAGTGATACAATTTGTCGAGTTAGCATGTCGTGAGGCGTAAAGCTAGTCATTAACAAAGTGTGCTTTCGTGTGACTATGATAAGAATACAGTGTTACACAAAATATCCAGAAGACATTAGTATTCTACGCAAGTCGCTTACAATAAATACGTAGCATGAAATATTGTATTTTATCTGTGAATCCATCTCGCTAGGTCAAGGTCAAAGGTCAATCATTGACGCATAAAGTAATCCTTTAAAAAGGTCAATACAAAGAATAAGTACATTCGGGTAATCTAAGAACGGACACACAGCGACTTGGCGACTTTTAGCAGCGCTACGAACGCGCGTTTGAAGGCACATTTGCATCGCTGCTTAACTCGCGCGTGTTTGTAAAGGTAGACGATTAACCACTGCATCGTGGTTGAATCGCTGCAGACGCGCTGTTTAAAGTTGTCGTGTGTAACCGCTCTAATATTGATTACAGAAATTTTGCCGAACACTGCATATAGCGAACTATTTCAAAGCGTTTTGATTAAAATTCCAACCTATTGTGTAACATACCGAACATGATATCCGTGCTAGCTATTTCACTAATGAGCTATGTGTGGTTTTCGATTCCGAAATCGGTCGCAAATTATGTGGTCGCCGCGAGTGAAAGCCCAGACAAATTACCTTAAGATCTTAGACCGATTGAGTTACTAGGTTTATGCACTATTCGCTAACTAGGTGACTCATCGATGTCATACCTAAATGACGGCAGTCCATGATAATGCGGCGAATATGAGCCAGTCCTGTGCAATGCTTGTTTGATGGTGAATGTCGTGTGCTGGTGTACTTAATGCTTACGTAATATCCGATTTGATGAACTAATTTCAATAATTCGATTACCAAAAACGAGAACCAAATTGTATTTATTTATTTAATAATTACCAGATTATTGAGTTCTTAGGTTTACGAGATTGTTATACACAGTTCCAGGAAATGGAACTATTTTTACAGATCTAAAATGCATATATTGGTTTTTCTAAAAAAACCAACGTTTCGGACCCTTTACGGGTTCCGTGGATACGGTTGACTAGCTATCTATAAGGAGTCCAAAACATTGGTTTGTTTGAAAAAAGGAACAAATACACTTGACTCAGATCCGAATAATTGTTTCATTTGCAATTACCAGGTTGTGTTTCCTTTTTTTGATTTACTTTTTAATTTAATTTGCCTACATTGTAATTTTATCGACTATCTAACAAGTATGACTAATTGAAACAGAGTTTTCGATGGAGTTTATTTTAAACTCTAATAAAGATTCTAGACTAAATGAACTAAACTTCTTAATGATGTCACGGGTTATGGTAACTCTAAAGGCTCGACTATAGTCTAAATGGACACATTATGTTCTCCACAACTATTACTATTTCTAAGGATCATCCTGGCTGCTATTATGAACAGGGGACACCATTAGCCTCAAAAATATGAAGACTTGAATTTAACAACGTGGAACGCAAATAAATATGAGAAGCCTTCTTCTGAAACTACTAAGATTAGCTGTTGCACTTGAGCTACAGCTAATCTTGTGAAGTTGTCTTTACAAATACTTTGCCGCCAAGCGATGTGTTCAAGGAATAATGCTTTGAATGCGGTCAATGCATAAAGTCATAATGCAAGACAAGTTATCGCATTAGACAATATGGCGCCAATGTATCATCGTCTTCGCAATTGTCTGCGGTACAAGAAATTTTGATTTAGCGATAACTTGTTCAGTTATTCTCTAATAAAAACGAGCCGTAAAAAGGTAAAAGGGGCAAACAAGCATTCTTACTTCTTTTTTCTTTTTCGTCCGCCCCAAATCGTTCTGGAATAATTTAAAAATTATCCGTCAGAGTTGGTTGTGCTAACTTTATCTCGGTTTATCCGAGATTTTCATATTTTCTGTATAATTTTCACTGTGCCACGAATACTGATATTTATTTACTAAGTGAAAAGTGTGCTATTAAAGTTCATTCAAATCGTGTTTTATGAAATTTACTTTAATATATGCAAATATTTGTACCTTTAAGCAAGATATTATTAGTATAATATAGATCAAAACTGTAGTATGGTCTAAATAAACCTCTCAGTATATACAATATACAACGAAATATTTATTTTATAATATATTTTTTTAATTTGTTATAATTATGAATACAAAGATCTGCAACAAGTACATAGAAAAAATTGTAAGGTCTGTTGGTTCGTTTCGTAGCTCAGTTGGGAGGGAGTCGGGCACGGTATGCTGAAGGCGCTGGTTCGAATCCAACCGGATCGAAGGATTTTTTCTTAGTGTTCGATCATTGTATTAATGATTATAACACACTAGTGGAGAAATTTAACAAATAACAATTGAATATCGTGGTACTAAAACGTCGTTATATTCAATAAAGTAATTTTTTAGAATTTTTAAAATCTGTATGTATATATTTTCGAGAACTTCGGAGATTGAACTTGATCAAAAATAATCCAATCTGTCTCACGTGATAGAAGAGAATGAGCCAAACCATTGCACGTTGTTGTGGTCCTTACCTCGCCTTCCGCTCGTTTTTTCTCGAGTTCCTTTTGCTTGGCATGCTCCTCTGCTATGCGGGCTTCGATAGCGGCCAACGACTCGCGTGTGAAGGGTCGGAACAAGCTACGTTCTTCCTCGCTGACCGAGTCCAAGTCCTCGGACATTGTCTATCGAACTCCCCCCGAGTGAACTGCCTACTGCACATACAATTTTAAAACATTTTCGTTATGTTATCGATGTTATTCATACTATATAAATATACTTTTCAAAAAGAAGTTTGTGCTTGTCCACAGAAAATGTGTAAATATTTGTTTCCTACATCCTAAATGCAATTAAAATTAATAAAAACAATTGATTTGATGAATTTTCACGATTTTCATACATACTTTGATTTTAATAAGAGCGAGTTTTTTTTAATATTTAGTTTATATTGAAGACCAAGTACGGGTAGTTAGAAAAACTCGCACGACTAGAAGATGAAGAACACATCTCTATTCAATCTTCGAGACCATGGACACGTTGTGATACGTCCAAAATGTGGAGGTAAATAAAATATGTTTATACACGATTAGGTTCCGATTTTAAAATCAAATAAAATAAAAAACCATGTTAATTGCTCAACCCCTACCTATCTAACTCAGTGACGGTGTGATAGGGAAGAGTGGAAAAAATTATCCACTTATCCCCACCAGGGGGGACAGCTGGTAGGGACTAGTGGAATAGGTCTACCTATTTACATAGTACAAATATTTTAAAATTCTAATTACCTAATTGAATACTTCATTACTTAGAATAATATCAAAACACCACATCGGGATCTTTATACCAATAGCAGATTTTACGAAGCGGAATTACATGTAATATTTAAGGCGCGTTGCGTAACCCTGTTTTCCGAGCAACAAACTGGGCCAAGGTCCCGATTCCTGCCACACGGTTATAATCCACGGACTTCTCGCCCTGATTCCGACGTTTTATTCTTCAACTTTTTGCTTTAATCTCCAGCCAAAATTTAAGAGCGCCCCCCATCGGACCCCACGTCTTATCTACAGCGTCTATTACCATTCAATTGACACCCCCATTTATATTTCTTTATGGCTGATGTGAATTTTCTTTTTGAATTTGTTTATGGATACTTATTAATTATAAAGGCTACGTTGTAAATAACGTATAATAAATTTTGTTTAAGTAAGGTCTTTGGATTCATTTAACGTTATTAGGCGATTAGGACTCTGTTGGAAGTATACAACCTACTTGAGCGCATATTTAGAAGGAAATGTCGGTAGGGATGGACATTCCGATTAAATTTTTATGAAGATCGATTCAAGGGTATGCGATCTAGCTACTTTTTATATCGAAATAGATTCGACATTAAGGCGTATCGAATTATCTAGATCGTATTCAGAATTTAAAGAAAACAGTCTTTTTCTAAACCACCACTGAATCATAATGCCAATCCTATTTTATATTGGTCTGTAAGAAAAGTAGTTTGGTAACAACTAAGTACACAATAAGTCTACGATATTTGGCTATTGTTGCTACTTCTGCGCAATCTGAACGTCTTTTCTGATTTTCTCACTGGCTAATATCATTCTAAATGACAGTGGTATAACCGACTGAGGCTGAAAGGGCCGTCAAAATTATAATTTTTTGTCAAAATTAATTTTGAAACCGATCTGTGGATCAATTGATACGCATACGATCCAAAAAATCGTTTCAAAACTAAAAATTGTGCATCCCTAAATGTCAGTGTATGTTGTAATGTGTAGTTATGTTACCTGCTAACAGTGAATGGGCGGGTGTGTGTGGTGGGGGAACCGCTGCCGCTGGCGGCCGCACGCCCCGCGACCGCGATCTCCCGCACGCCACCTACGGGCGGAGCGCCCTTCTGCACACACAATTTGTTTAACAACTATTAAAAACTAGTAGTACTAGTAATTTCTAGTTCTGAAATAGTTTGTAGTGGAATGAGTTGATATTTTTAAGTTGTGCCTAAATAGGTGGAACCGCACTGCAATTACACACCACGGCGCGTTTTAACCAACGTAATTGCTATTAACTTTGGACGAACATAATTAGCATTAAGTAAAGTGGAGTAATTTCAATAATTTAATATTTATGAGGAGCTTCCCTCGATTAAATCTTTGACGGAGCGGGCCTACTTGTACTGCTAATTAAAAAAGATCGAAATTACTCGAAATGAGTGGTCACGCATAATAATAAAGAAGCTCAGATTTCGTTCTTAGCTCCTGCGTGTTATTGGTAAATTCTTTAGTCGCACCCTTGTTGCAATAAGGTCACATCTGCAAATTCACAACTTTTCAAGTGAGATATTTAAAGATTCCAATAACGAAATTAGTAGTTAACTTTATTATGCTTAAATAAGAAAGTTAAAAAATTTCACATATAGGTAATTTGTTTTTTTGTAGTTCGTATTATTTTTAATACTTTCATGCGATAAAAGTACTTTCGCCGTGTGATCCCAAGTGCCTTTATTATGCCAAGGGTACGAAAAGTATTTTAATTGAGGTCGTATTCTACTAAGGTGCAATTTAAGATATTGCAAAGTTGCGAAGTATTGTTACGAATCCTGTACGTACGTAATCAATACAACATATCTCTTTAACACAGACTAAGTGCATTTCCATGAACTTTAGGAACCTCATAGGAATATAGTCATACAGTGATGTGAAGCTCACCTATCGTCCGCGAGAGCAGTGTGGCCGCGGCTACCAGAGAGATGAAAGTTACCACGTGTTCGCTGATAGGGACAGCCAGCAAATGGGCGAGATTTTTCATGTCCGACCTGGAACAATGTGACATATTAATGACTACAAGAAAACAATCTTTATTATTATTGATACAAATATCGAACAAACATAAAAAAATCCCTCGCTCTAACTGGACGCGCACCAGGGGTCTACTCCCGACGCCCGAAGTAATACTATACCAAATTAAAAGATAAAGCATGAAGCGAATGAATGTACTTGACATTGTCTTGTCATTGTGATGTGGGACGGAGAACGTGAGTAACTCTGTTTACCAAACCGGGGCTACTGCTTTTACCAACTGAGATACAGATCTAGTCAGCAGACCTTACCAATTTGTGTTTGTTCGGTTTTTATATCACTTAAAACGTACTATACTCTAGACAAATTCGATGTAGAGTGTCAACAAACAATATGATGATTTTTCAGGGTGTTCACCGCAGACTGTTTTACAGTTACCACAATTTCAATATTTCTCTTCTTAAAATTCAATTAGGTTATTACTAATCTTAAAGTCATGTTTGCAATTAATTTTGTTTAATAGAAGTTTGAAATCAATTGTAAATTATTTGAAAGTACCATAAAAATTACCAGTAATTATAAAAATTATATTATAAATTAAAATGTGTCATCCCTAATGATTTTCTAATTTAATTGGGAGAGATTGCAATCATTCGCGTTTGAGTAGTCATTCAAGTTCAGAAATTGATGCTGGATTATATATGTAGTAAATTAATATAAAACAAAATTTTACATATCGAGTTTTTAGGTTTTCGCGATTGTTACACATATTAAATGAAACTATTTTTCCGGATTTAAAACACGTATATTTGTTTTTTCAAACAAACCGACGTTTGTCAAAACGTGACCATGGGACGAAACGTCGATTTGTTTGAAAAAATAAATATACGCGATTTGAATCCGGAAAAACAGTTTCATTTCCTATAAAATCTTACAATTCTGTTTCTTTTCGACTACCTTACTTACCCACTATCTCGCAGTTAGTAGGTATTAATTGATATCAAAAACTTTATTATTTTATACGTAAATCACACGTAACATGTACCTATTGTACTGTGTAAACTTTATAAGTGACCAAGTAAGTATTACTTTTACATAACCCAATTAGTTACCTATTTAAATTACAATTACGCGAGCGCGCTGTGGGTAGAGAGAGTTATTCGATCTATTTAATGAGCATTGACATAAAATGTTATTTTCCCATGGCATCATTGGTTGCCTAGTAACTTGTTGTATTTATTAAGTATGTATTATTTATTGTTTAATAAAACATTCTATGTCTAATTTGGCTAGATTATGTGGAGAATATTTCCCAAAAAAACTTATACTTACTTAAATATCTGATACTTAAAATATCATGATATTCAATAAGAAAAGTAACAATCTTAATTAAAACAAACATAAGTAATGTCAAAAATCACTTTTTAAATCATGTACCTAATACCTTATATTCTAGTAAGTAAGAGTCAAGTCAATCAAGTATGATCAATGTATCTTGTATGTATGACTGCTGGGCGTACTTAAGATTCTTCGTTATTTATGATTTAAATTGGTAATTTTCTTTTCAGTTAGTTATTTCTTAGACATCTCTAAATGACCTTTAATAGCGAAAACGTTAAAATGTAAATGGGTCTACAGGTCTCATAGTTTTATTTTAAATTCTCAAAACAAACAAAATAAACAGATAAATTGAAATAACAGTAAAAATATTTAACTAAAGTACCTGCTCTAATATTATCGTAATGAATAATATTTGGAAAGCTCGAATATATTCTTCAGTAACCGCCATTCTCGCAGATGGTTAACCTTAATTGTACCTGTTTAGTCTTAATTGAATAACCGCGTTATTTACACGAAACGAAATTATGGTGTATAAGTTCATATCATACACATACCGTATACACAAAAGTTTGGAGCAGTAGAGCTCCTTCTGAAAGAGTTCGTTCAGAGAAATACTGCCGCCATACTAATATCTGCTGCCAAGCAGTTATGTGAGCATTACTGCGTTCCGGATTCAAAGGGTAAGGGTGCTGGTGAAGTTACAGGCTAGTGGCAGTGCCCCTCAGATCTTTGTAATTTAAAGCTCGGAGTAGTACTACAACTGTTATGGACAGGCGTGTCGCTTACCACCCGGCACACGACTCGTTTATCCCGTCACTTACTATTATATAAAAAAATATAGGTGTAGTCAGCGTCAAAATAATCTCAGTACAGAGTACTAACTAAGATAGCAATTAATTTAACGTGCACTTTCAATTATTTGAAGCGATAAGATTGATTTTAGTGAATGTTGGATATTTTTGGACACTGCACTCGGACTATTTTGGCGCTGTATATGTGAAAAAGTATGTACGAGTACAATAATACATGACAAATCCTCAATAATTTGGCGTTGTCCTCATTTCGGTGGCGATTACAACAGGTCCACACGACCGCTACCGGAAATTGCAAAGAGCCCCGGCATTCCTAACGCTCCGTCGCTGTCGAGCTAAATTAATTTTGATGTTGCTTTTGGGACAAACCGTATTGCGAGGAATGGGTACGGTTGTGTACATTGAAAGGCCTGTGTTTTTCTAGGCTTTGAATTTGGGTACATTTATCTTTTTATTTAAAATAAATTAACAGGGAAGCAAACGATGTGATTGCGAAAAAGAATATGATATGATGATAAGAAAAATATAAATTTTATGTAACAACTATTTTTGTACCAGTGTTGTAATAAACGTCATTTCAAGAACGAATACAGAAGCGACAAAACGTCCAACGACCTATGCTCGGGATTTCTCTGGAAGATAAGGTTTCAAATGAGGTTATAAACAGAGAAGTAAGCTCGTTGATATAGCTAGTAGAATAAGTATGCTGAAGTGGCAGTGGGTTGGCCACATTTGTCGAAGAACTGATTTTTACCAATGGGGTAAACGAGTTCTTGAGTGGAGACTATGGCTCGGCAAACTTAGTATAGCCCTCTGGCTAGGTGAAGTGACGATTTGCGAAATGCTTCTGGCAGCAGATGGACGCGTCAAACTGAGGACCTGGAAGAAATTGCTTACATTAGGAGAGGCAGTCCAGCAGTGGACTGCGACCGGCTGATGATAATAACGAAATAGACTACCTAGATAATTTATTATAGACAAGACGATTACAGGAAAGTCCAATGTAAATGTCAGTAAGTTGCGACTGCAACCTGCTGTTTTTGACGTTACGACGACAGACTATCGTGACAATGGGAAGTGCTAGAACGACAGTCGTCTGATTAAATAAATATGAATGTTACGACAGATATTCGCAGCTTCATACTGTGCAACGTGCAAACGACGGTTACCGTGAACCGATAAATTGTCGTCACGATCTAGTGGGAACAGCTAGACACGACAGTTATTCAACGATAAAATAAACGTCCACGACACTGTCACGACAGAAAGTCATGATATGGGTACTGGCTAGACGCGACAGTCGTCCACGATAAATACAACGTTACGACCTAATCGGTACGCGCCCTAACTAAATACAAACACAATAAAAATTATATAACCTTTTGGAATTCGCTCTCTTCATATTAGGGCTTTTGGTCTCGCTGCAATTCCCGCGTCTCCGGGAAAAAATCGAGACTCGATGCGGTCTCGAAAATCCCTAAACAACGAGACATTCGAGACTATTTTAAAAGTATCATTCACTCATCATCACTCAAAACATGATATTTTAACCAAGTTTGACTTCTTATTAACTCAAGTTATAAGATCAAAATTTATTCACGAAAATTTTTTCATGTTTATTTAGAGTCGGCATTTAAGTAACGAAAAGTGTTTAATGTAGTTTCAGATATAGAGGATCTGATTTTATTACTATCGTTTAATCTCCACAGATTATATCTACCAAGATTCACTCTACAGTGTTGCCATGTACATACATGTACGGACAATGGCACACCAGACTACATATTTTAATTCGAAAATTGCCTCCAGTGCAACGGAACAAGATACGTCAATGTGTAGCTTGATGTGCTGGCGTGTGTACATGGCAATACTGTAGAATAAAAAATGACTGTTGATTTCGTAGATTTTTTAATATTGTTTAATTACACACCTACGCCATCTACGCGTCTACGAGTTACGCCAGCGTACGTTGGTTGTTATGGCGTTTAATATTGGAAAGTACCTTGTTTGTGGAATATTATTATATATTATTATAAAATTATTAAAATTATAATATTATTATAAAACTATATAATTATGGAATTCTTTGAAATTTGCGATTCCTACATTTTTAAACAACAATTTTTTGAAACAATTTTTAATACAATAAAAGAACGAAGTTCTCTATTCGACTGTATTTTTGGGTGTATGATGATGACATTCATTATACTATAGTGGCCCTGAACTTAGCCACGCCGCCATTAAATCCTCAAGCGTGCAGGTGTTAGGGCACGCAGGGTACAATATGAGGTGGGCCATCGTTTGAGTCGTAGCGCACAAGCAGTCCAGGTTAGAACCATCCGAAAATCCCCACCTGAAGAAATTGTCCTTGCTCCGACTAACCTGAGCTCGAAGTCTATTCAAACACGTCCAAATCGGCCATTGGCAATTCGTGTCCAGGAGGAGGACTCTCAGACCTTTGTAGGTCTTTGTGTGACCCCCCATTCAAATTAGAAGAAAATATTCCACCTATAAGCGTGGCAAATTAGGGGATAAATCTGGTTTATTAGATTTCACCCACTTTCCGTTAAGGCGAGGTATTTCTAGGCGAGTCTCGATAGAAGAGGTGAGACATGGGGGGACCGCCTGCGCGTCCCGCAATCCGAGCTTAGAAAATTTATATGATTGAATAAGACATGGCGCAGAAAATTTGACACAGATTCGACGTTGACAAACGCCCGATGGCGACTGATGGGGCAATAGGCGGCGCGGCGTGTCGTTAAATCGCTGGGTAATTTTCAAGTTTTGGGATAAAAGTGAATTTAATAACTATAGGGTTTTAGTTTAATATCAAAATGTAGCAGGTTATCTGTAGTACTTAAAGA